AAAAAAAACCAATTATCATTATATATTGTCTAAAAGATTATATCGACATTTCACATACATTCATAATCTTAAAATATTGTAACAGTGTTAAAACTCTTGAGGGAGAGCTTTGCCGCCCTTGTGGTCCTACTCGGCTCGATTCCGAATTAGTCGGTTCACTTGTGGATCCGAAAACCGGAAGATCCCTGTAAAAAAAAAATAATCGTAAAAAAAAAAAGGCGCTGCTTGTTATTTGCGCTGGCTTTTGTTTTATTCTGATCGAGGTTACACGCTTTTAGTAAAACCTAAAATTAAGTTACAAAGTGCCTTTCATCTTCACTTCCCCTCTCGTGTTCTGTTCTTGAGGTAAGCTTCCGCTTTCATGTAACGTGAAGTTTATCTTTTTAATCATCGATTTTGAGAATTTAGCACAAGTCTTAATTTAATCATAAACGTCGGTTCGGATTGCAGCGTTGCTTCTTCGTCTATGGATTGTATACGTCTTGCACACAAACTGTTCGATAAATTGTCTCTGAGGAACATTTTACCTCTTCTTTTCTGGATAACATAGGCATTGGCGTAAAGATTGATTATTTACTCTTAACTGATCATGTTTTTCGCTTAACGAGTGGTACAGAAGAGTATGAGAAGCAGCTTGGGGAGCTTAAAGAACGTGCTGGCTGATGCAGCCATTAAAGGAGTTACTGAGGCCAGGGCCAGGATTTTCGGTCACGTGCTGAACCCCACCGGGCAAAGGTCCCCTCACAAGATACTGCGCAAGAAGTTGATTGGGGACAAGGTGGCCGCCTGGTATCCATATGACATAAAGCACGACGATCCACTCGTCATGGCCCGTGAAGAGCAAGAGTGAGATTATAGTTCCATTTATTTCATTATTTGTTAGTGTGTTTGTGGTGTTCCCTTAGGTTAGCTACTCTTGTTGGATTTTATCCTTTACTACTTGTTTGAATGCGGTAGGATAGCACTGGCACTAGGATAGTACATTTTTCTCGAAGATTAGTGACATACACACGATACCTTGAAATGGGTGCTCGAAGTATGCATCTTCAATTTAATAAATGGGTCGTGACTTGTATTTTGTGGAACGGTAGATGACTGTATAGTGAAAGTAGATATCATCTCAATCATGTCGATGAGTTAAAGAAAAGATGAATAGATGGGTTTATTTTCTCTTCTTTTCCTCAGAAAGTCATCTTGGCAGAAAATCATCTTTGTAAACAAGATAACAGAAAAGGTAAGACTTGTATAGTATTTTTTGTAGAAAGAAAAGTTCATCTGGCTCAATTGCAGTTTGTTTATTCTCAACCACCCTGCGAAATTCTCGAGAAAAACGGGCTACTTTGCAGAGGAGGTTTTCATCAGACGCATTTATTTTTTGGCTGCTCAAATTACAAATTTATGCTTATATACCTGCCTGAAATTATGATCAAGATATATTATGACCTATTCCCTTTTTTTTTTTTAAAGCTTTATTAATTTTCATCATTTTCATAGGATTCGATTAGCTTTTCGATATGGCGTGGTAGTTCTACGGTTATTTTGTCTATAAGCATTACGAGTTTGTGAACATCTTTTCGAACTGAACAAAAAAGTGTGTGTGTGTGTGTGTGTTTTTTTTTTTTTTCTTTTTTCTCTAAAAGCATCTTACTCTCTGTGATTCTAACTAGTTGATCATGGCAGGCGGCTGAACAAACTTGAGATGCTCAAGCGTCGTGGTAAGGGGCCACCTAAGAAAGGACAGGGAAAACGTGCTAAAAAGAGCGGCAGAGGGTAATTATCAGCAGCTTATAGCTGAAACTCAGTATTCCATATGGTAAAGATTTGGATTTCTGAATCGCACCGGCCTTTACCTTTTAAAGTATTCTTGGGATGTTAATGTTTGTGATGTTTGGAATGTTCTAGTTATATGATTTCCTATGTACACTCTACTGGGCATGTTTTGATGGGACTTCGATGATGAAGAAGTTGATTCTAGTATTTTGCATGAGTTAGGGGGTGCAAACTTAGATGATCGTGTTTTAACTTGAACAAAAATTTGAAGAGACCGTATAATCCAATCACATAATGTGGAGCCCAAATAACATCAACCATGATGAAATTGAATAACCATAAAATTTTGGCTTCATTTTCACCCTTTATTTCATATAATACAATATTTCTCCAAGTTTCTTTTAAAAAAAAAAACGAAAAAATTGAAACAAAGCAATTATTTAGGCCATGAAAATCTAACTCCATGATTTTGTGATTACAAGTCGGGACAAATTATTATTATTATTATTATTATTATTATTATTATTATTATTATTATTATTATTTGTTTTTTCAAAATTGTCTTAGACATTTATATACTAAATTGTATCGTAATTATTTTGTTGAAAAGCAATAAAGAATGGAGATTTATCTACTTTATATAATCGAAATCCAAAATAAAGAAAATAAAAAATGAAATTA